CTTGTTCTGCTGAGTGGAGCCTTTCAAACAGAAATCCAAGATTCTCGCAGCCTCCCCTGACTCAGGGAGCTGGGGATTTAAGGAAGGCACCATGGAGGTGCCACCACCTAGCGCCAGGCTTGGGATACAATCCTGGGAGCTGGCAGACTCCCAAATGTTGCTGAGCCACACTGTGGCTATCTGTGCCAAGAAACTGTGGCCGTGACACCCCCTTTCCTGGAGAGGGGGCCCTCTCGGTGCCGGGAAGGGCTTCTGTTTGCTTGGGAAAGCTTTGCCAAATGTCACTTCTGCCTCTGTCCCTGGCAGTGCACCAGGCGTCTGGGGCACATGGGGAGCCCCCCAGCTATGTTCTGCTGTGGGTGGCCCTGTGGTAGTTGCGCCCGCCTCCAGTTCCAAAGGGTCACCAGGGCTCTGGCCTGGCACAGCTCACCTTGAAGAGTCCCCTCTGCGCAGCAGCTCCGAGTCCTTGGTCCACTTGAGGGTGGTGGGGTCGCGTGCCTGGGACCCCTGCTGCAGCGGGCACTCACTGCCTGCGATGGGCGTGCTGTGTGCTGGGTCCTCGGGGGTGTGTGTGCGCGGGCTGCAGGTCGCCTTGCTTTGACGGGGGGAGCAGCGGTCGGGACCCCCTTGGCTGGGTGAGCAGCCTGACTGGCACATGTGGTGGCCCTGAGGGTCGAGAGTCTGGGCTGCACCTGGCGCGACACGGGGGAGCAGGCCCCATCTTGGCTGGTTCTGCAGGTGTGACTTTAATACCGTTCCGGAGCTGCTGGACTATGCTCGGTTATTGGAAACCATGGCCTGAGAGTGTGGCAGCAGGGCTGTGACCCCCCCCCCGGGGAAGTTAACGTGCTCCCTATAAGCCGCTCGGATCCTGAGATGGGTCGGAAACAGGCCCCCAGATCCCCGAACCCCCAACTGTCCCCCTATACGCTTGCAGGGTCAGCGCAGCCCTTCCCCTTCCTGGAGGGGTCAATGGGCGTCTGGTGCCGCTCTCCCTGAGGCGGGCCCTCCTGGTGCCTTTCCTATGTGCTGTGCCCAGGCAGCCAGGTCTGGAATCACTCCCCACCCCCATGGGTCCCCTGGCGGCTGCTCTCCGCCCCAGAGCTGGTTGCATTTCAGGGCTGCCGAGGGTATGTCGGGGGGGAGGAGCTGTAGGGACGTACTTGTTGGGTCCCTTCGTGGTCTGAGCGCAGGTGGGCAAGGCTGGTGGGCTCTGGCTCAGGCCCAGCCCCCGCTGTGCACGGCTGGTGGCCCTAGCGGGTGAGTTCCCCGTGGGCGTGGCGCAGACATGCCGCTCCCTCCTGTGGAGGAGCGGCTCCAGGTGAGGTCTGACGACAGCAGCCTCCGCACCCTGCCCCGCTCGCTCTCGGGTCGCTCCCAGAAAGGCAGCGCAGATTCTCCCCCCCCAGCCAGTCCCCTAGCCCAACCCCACATGCTGGGACCGGGCATGTTCATCTGGGAGGAGAAGATCAGCCTGCCCTGGCTCCCTGTCTGCATCTCCAAGCTCTGGGGTAAGGGGGGGGAGGCCGAGACCCTGCGTCTGGACCTGGGGTGCGGCCCTCGGGGAGGGAAGCCGTGGGGGTGCGGGGGAGATAGCAGGCACAGCGGTGGGGTGTCGCTGGCTGCCAAAGGGAGCCTGAATGTTGCAGGCCTGCAGCCACACGCCTGCCTGCCCTACCCTGCCCAGCGGTTGGGGGGTGGGGGGGAGGGAAGGGAGGGTGTGATCCTGATTACACATGCTGCAAAGAATGCAGAGCCCTGCTGGGTGGGGGGAGGGAATGGCTAAGTGCTTGGGGGGGGGGGGAGGGTCCCACAGCCTGGGCCTGAGAGCAGCAGGTCCCCTTCAGCCAGGCTGCAATTTTAGATCGACCCCATGGGTCTCCCTGACCTTCAGATTAGGGGGTGGTTAGGGGGGGACCCTTCTTCTCCCCCCCCACCTCAGGACTTGGTGCTGGACCCCTGGCTGGTCTGTTCTAGTGCTGCAGGCCTGGTGCTCTGGTGATGGGCTGGGAGGCGTTTCCGGTGCTGAGCCCCAGTTCTCAGAGGCGTCTAATCTTTGGGCGGGTGTTTCTCAGCCTGCAGGCGGCTCGGTGTTCTTCTGGGACAGCTGGCTAACTTTCTGTCCAGCTGGCAGTCGCCATCTCTGTGTCTGTGAGAGCACCTGTGTGTGAGACTGTCTGTGAGAACGCCTGTGGGGCTGTGTATCTGTGAGAGCACCTCTAGCTGTGTGAGACTCTGCGAGTGCCTGTGACTGTCTGTGTGTCAGACCTGTGTGTGTGTCTGCCTCTGCCTCTGCGTGTGTCTGAGTGTGAGACTGTATGTGTGAGAGCCCCTGAGAGGCTGTGAGCTTGCATGTGGAGCTGTGCGTGGGGCTGTGAGCGCACCTGTCGGGCTGTGTGGGACTCTGTGTGGGGCTGTGAGCGTGCACGTGGGGTTGTGAGGGCGCCTGTCAGGCTGAGTGGGGCTGTGCATGGGGCTGTGAGCGCGCCTGTCGGGCTGTGTGGGACTCTGCATGTGTCTCGGGGAGGGAAAGGCCTTTTTGCAGTGTCAGAAATTGCTGGGATTCTTTGCTGCTGTGCACATGGGAAATGGTTGGTTGTTTTCAGGCCGGCGGCGCTGTTCAGGATCTCTTGGCCTGGTCTACGCAGCCCAGGCTGAGGAATGTGGCCCAGTGAGGACGGACTTGCCCACCAGTGCAGCTGCCCTTTGCAAAAGGGCCCCTGCTTGCTCCCTGGGCGCTCCCTGGGAGGAGGGGCGGGTGGTGACATGGTTGTCACTCCGTGGCTGTGCGTAGAAGTCGGCTGGCCTTGCGGTTAAGTCCTGGGACTTGGAAGGTCTGTGTCCTGCTCTGCCCCTGGCCCCGTTCGTGACCTTGGTGTCACTTAGACCAGAGGTTTTACACTGATCTGGGTACCCCAAGATTTCTGGGCGCCTGATGGGTGGCGCTGGGGACCCCGCTTTTGAGGAATGTTGGGCCCCCTCCTGCTGGAGTCACTAGGCGCCACAGGGGCTCTGCATTTCCAATGTCCAGCCCCAGCTGTGTCCAGGTGTCACCAGAACTGCTCAGCCTGAATCTCTGTGTCACATTCCCCATGTGGAAAATGGGGATCACTCCCCCGTGAGCCTATCTGCCTCCCCCTGGCAGCCTGGTAGAACCAGCTCAGCTGACGGACGGTGGATTCCAGTCCTGCTAGTGCACTGCCGGTGGAATTCCCACCCTGGGTTCCCTGTGCACGCCGCTCTGCAGCCGGTGAGCTACACGGGGGTTGCTCAGGCTGCAGAGGGGTCACCGAGGGCAGATCTGACCTGCAGACCCTTCCTTGGAGGTATTTAAACCACTTGGGCCAGAGGACGTTTTGGTTGCAATTTTCCATGCCTTGAAGCCAGGCAGTGCTGCCCCCCCGGTCGCGGTTGCGAGCAGGGAGCTGAGTCTTGCTTGGCCAGCCCCATGGCGGGTACTTTTCCCAGTTGGAGCTGCCTTCCCCATCGAGGGAGCGTTGAGTCCCATGGCCCCGCCGTGTGGCATTCAAGCACTGCCCGCCCGTGGCAGTGAGATCTCCTAGTATCTCCCCGTGTCCCGCAACAGTAAGGACTAAACCAGCCAGGACGGGAGCTGGGAGCCATGGTGCCAGGGACTGTGGTGCCAGCCCCTCTCCTCTAGGGCCTGGCCAGTCTCTCAGGCAGGAAAGGGGCAGTGGATGGCAGCAGGGTCCAGGTGTCCTCATAGACTGTTGCTTTCTAACCCAGAAGCCTTCCTGCCGCGCTGCCATGTGCAATGAGAGAGTCACAACGTGAGCGTCAAGCTTCTGTCACTGCCATCTCCATCCGCTCCCAGTGAACTGAACAAGGCAGGGCACAGCTCAGAGAGACTGAGGCCTATCGCTTCCACCCCTGCCCAGCAATGGGCTCAGACTGTCTGCAGACTCAGGCGGTGTCGCTGGACCGGTCACACCTGGGGTAGCTCCCCTCCCCCGCCCCCAGCGATGGGCTCAGGCTCTCGGCAGACTCAGGCAGTGTCGCTGGACCGGTCACACCTGGGGTAGCTCCCCTCCCCCCCAGCGATGGGCTCAGGCTCTCTGCGTTGGACACGTTTTGGAGGTTGAGTAGCTGGAGACTGGTTGGATTCTCTTTCAGTGAAAGCAGGGACCTCTGAGAGTGCTGGCGAGGCCAGTGGTGCCCCTCCTGGCCAGGGGAACACAGGGCCAGGGGCTGGGACTGGAGCAGGGGCTCACCCAGGCTGTGGTGGGAGGGAGTGGCCCAGCCCCAGCCACTGGGGAGGCAGGGGCCCTGGCCGTGTCTGCCAGCTGCCATGCGTGTGTAGAACAAAGGGCCTGTGTCCCTAGGCAAATGCATCTGGGCAGTTCCAGGGTGAGGGGGGGAACCCTGCCCCTGCTGACCCAGCCCTTCCCCTTCTGTGGGGGGCAGGGGCCTCGCTCCATGCTAGCCACTGGCGGGATTGGGTGCCCGGGACCCTGCTCGTGAGGCTCCCGGAGGTGGTTACCTGCCCCTGGGGTTCAGTTGCCATGGTGGCCCCAGGCCAGCGCTGAGCTGTCCGACCCACACAACGCATAGCCTGGCGCTGTGAGCCCTTCCCCCATCCCTCCGTGCCCCATCCTGGCTGCAGTTGCGCAGCCTGACACGGGCGGCCGTGGGCGTGACCTGGGCGTGACCAGGACCTGCGGTATTGGGCTGCCTGGCAGCTGTGTCTGTCAGCCCAGCTCTGGGGAGCATTGGTCAGACCAGCTCCTGGGCCTCAAGCAGTGCCCTGAGGTGGCCTGGCCCTGGGCTGCTTTGGCACCGCCCGGCCGTGAGGGGCTGGGACCAGGTGGGCGCAGGGTCGAAGCATGGCTCCAAGCCACTCCCCGGCCAAGCTCCCCCTGAGCCACTCCTCAGGCCGAGTCTGCAGCTGTGGCGATGGCATGGGGTCGGGAGCAGGAAGGGCTGCGGGGCCTGGCGTGTGGGGCCCTGCCCTCTAACTATACTGCCTCTCCCCCCACCAGAATCCCCCCGGCTGCCAGCACTGCCCTGCCCCGGCAGCTATGACAGGATGCCCGTCTGCGCTGCGGCGGGCGCGCACCCCCCGGAGCGCCCAGTGAGCCGGATGCCCATGGAGGGGCAGGACAAGGCCCCCGGCCATGCGCCGGCCCGGGAGGGGGACGCCCTGCGGGTCAACCAGCTGCACAACAGCAACAACAATGCCTCGCCGGGGGGCTGGCTGGGCCGCAAGGGCTCCCGCTCCCTCTCCCTCTCGCCCTTCGGCCCCCGGGCCCCTGCTGGCGCCAACCACAAGCTGAGCTACCTGGAGCGCGTGGTGCTGGAGCTGGTGGAGTCGGAGCGCACGTACGTGCGGGATCTGCGCAGCATTGTGGAGGTGAGCCGGACCCCTCCACGCCCCCCCAGCTGGGCGTGAGCCGCAGGCTGGCCCCCTCGCTGCACAACAGCACCCCCTGCTGCCCCTGTGTGGTGCCACATGGCTCCCCCGACCCCATCGTCCCTGGAGCTGGGGCGCCTGGGATCTCTGGCTCCTCTGTGCTGTCAGCCCTGCTGGTACCAGCAGCTGGGAGGGGCATGGCACAGTGCCAGTCCGGCTGGGTCTGTATCCCTAAACGCCCCATGGGGTGGAGGTCGGGGGGCATCTTTCATCCCCATATCCCTGGTCTGGCTCCTCCAGGGAGGGGTCTGCTAGCGGGGTGAGCTCCCAGCATGCACTGGGGGGGGGGGGGAAATGGGGGGGGGGGTGCTGTCACGGTCGATGGGCTCTGTGGGGATAAAGCCGCCCGCAGGGACCTTGGCCCATTGGCTCTGCCCTGGCAGGCTCCAGGGCGGCTGGGCTAGCGTGGGGGATGGCGCTGCCTGTGGCAGCAGGACGGGGATGGGGGACCTGAGCCCTCCTCCCACCACCGAATGGAGCCAGCTTGGCCTTGGGGAAGCTCCTCTTGATGGCTCTGACGGGAGGGGAGGGCTGGGGGGGCCGCTGGCCGCACGACAGCACCTCTCTGCTCGCTGGCCCGCGCCGTGGCTCACTGTGTGCGCCTGGCAGGACTACCTGGGGAAGATCATCGACACCGAGGAGGAGCTGCTGCGGCCGGAGCAGGTCAGCGCGCTCTTTGGGAACATCGAGGATATCTACGAACTCAACAGGTGAGCTGGGCCCAGAACTGCCTGCTCTGTCCCGCCCCCCGTAATTCTGCCCCCGCTGTCCTTGCCCCCCGCCTGCTCCGGCCTGACCCCCGTAACCCTTGTAACCCCACCCCCCTCCATCTGGCGCCTGACGCCCTTCATTCCTGTCCCTGCCCACTCCGGCCTGACTCCCATAACCCCTGCCCTCTCCGTCCCTGACCCGCTCTGGCCTGGCCTCCTCTATCCTCCAACCTGCTCCAGCCTAGTCCCCCTGACCCCCTCCATTAACACCCCCCCACCTCCTCCAGCCCCACCCTACCTCCTCCACCCCCCCCCCACTCTCCAAAGGGGCGGTGGAGTAAATGCCCCGGGACGGGCTTCCCCCTAGAATTGGAGAAGTCAGCGTTAGTGCTCAATAGAAAGGAATTGTGGCACCTAGGGAGCCTCCTGGGCTCTTCCCCTCCCGCCCAGCTCTGCCGGTGCCCGTCAATCCCAACCCGCGGCCCCTGTTATCCCAGCCCTGGGCTCTTCCCCTCCCCCCCCTCCCCCAGCTCTGCCTGTTCCCCTCAGTCCCCACCTACAGATTTCTGACTTGTGAGCCGGGGGTCTCGTTGCCAGTCTCCAGAGGGGAGAGGCTGTTGCCACCTGCTCCCCGGCCCTAGGACAGCAGTGTCAGAGGGAGCCGCCCTGGTGGCCCAGGCCTGGCCTGCCTGAGGGCGGAGGAGCGGCTCCGGTCCATATCCCTCCCCATCTCCCTCGGCTTGGCACTGAGGCTGTCTCAGCCGAGAGTCTTTGGGCAGAACGCAGTCGGGGCGGGGGTGGGTGCCTGTCCATTGAGCTCTTTGCGGTCTCTGGTTGGGGCCCGCGTGGAACGACTGTAACACCGGCGGCGTGACTGAGAGCCGGCCAGGCCAGGGCCCCGGGGAGAGGGGGCAGCCAGTGCGTGCGTCTCCTCTCGTAACACTTGCTTTGTTTTCAAACCCTGCCGGCACTGGAAGGGGCCCTGCCCTGCAGGTGGGTACCACGCCGGGCGCACTGCATGCTCTGCTGCCTGCCCTCTGCTTGGGGGTTTGTGTGCTGGGAGTGGCGGGGCGCATGCCATACATGCATGCAGCACATGCCTGGCCCGTGTGTCCCCCGGAGAACACGCGTGCTTGGCAGGCCCGGCCTGTGGGTCGCCCGGAGCATGTGTGCTCTTGGCAGGCCCTACATGACTGACAGTCTCTCTTTCTGCCCAGCGAGCTGCTGCAGGACCTGGACAGCTGTGACAGCAACCCTGTGGCCGTGGCCAGATGCTTCGTGGACAGGGTAAGGGGGGCTCTGGACGTGGCACGCAGTGGTGAGCGGCTGGCGAGATGGCCCATGGCATCGTCCTGCGCCAGGCGAACTGGTGCACTCGGGGCTTAGTGCTAGCGCCTGTCATCCTGGCATGTGAGCGTCTCCCAGCTCCCACGCCTGGCACAGCACATGGCCCTGATGGATTTCATGGGACGGCCCTAGCTTGGCGGGGGTGGGGGTGGGGGAGCTTGCGGTGCCAGCCGAGCTGGGGGACTGGCTGGGGCACTTTGGGGACGCTTGCAGCACTGAGGCACCTTTGCGGGATGCTGATGCCCAGGCAGGTGGAATACTGGGAGGGCAGTGCCCAGTGTAAGCACTCGCTGGCAGCTGCGGCTGGGCACAGGGAGGGGTGCAGCTAGGGTTGCAAACTGTCTAATCGCACAAACCCAAACACCCTTGCCCCGCCCCTTCTCTGAGGCCCTGCCCCCACCCCCTCCATCACTCATTGTCCCCTACCCTCGCTCACTTTCACTGGGCTGGGGCAGGAGGTTGGGGGTGGGGTGAGGGGTGCAGGCTCTGGGAGGGAGTTTGGGTACAGGAGGAGGCTCAGGGTTGGGGCAGGGGCTTAAGGAGTGGGGGCAGGCTCCGGCTGGCGCTTACCTCGGGAAGCTCCCGGGAAGTGACCGGCGTGTCCCTCCGGTTCCTAGGCTCAGGGGCAGCCAGGTGGCTCTGTGCGCTGCCCCTGCCTGCAAGCACCGCCCCGGCAGCTCCCATTGGCCACAGTTCCCGGCCAATGGGAGCTGCGGAGTCAATGTTTGGGACAGGGGCAGCACATGGAGACCCCCCGCTGTGCCTAGGGGCTTCCAGGAGCCGCGTGGAGCCAGGACAGGTAGGGAGCCTGCTTTAGCCCCGCTGCATCGCTGACCGGACTTTGGCCTATTAAAATCTCCCGGCTTGGTTTCAGACGCCACCGGGAGATCGATTCCGGGAGACTCCCGGCCAATCCGGGAGGGTTGGCAACCCTAGGTGCAGCTCCTGGGGCTAGAGTGTGGGCAGAGTGCTCTGGGAGGGGGCCTCCCCCTGTAGATCTCACTCACGGTCTCTCTCTTCCCTCCCCTCCCCCTGCAGAGCCAGGATTTCGATATCTACACCCAGTACTGCAACAACTACCCCAAGTGAGTGAGCACGGGGCGGGGGATCCTTAGGGCGGGGACCCCTGCCTGTGGGGAGGTTGCACCCCACGCTGGGGTGGCCTGGCTCTGGCAGCAGATGATGGGATCTTGCCAGATTTGAGGGGGGGTGTGTGTGGTGGGGGCACTGCCAGAGCTGGGAGGGGCCAGTGTCCCCTCGTGCAGCAGCCTCTCCCAGCATCCCAATCGCAGGTGCCTCAGTCCGTGGCCTGGGAGGAGAAGGGGCCGTGTGCCAGCCCCCCAGCCCTGCCACGCACAGGAGCGGGTGGGGCTGGTTTCTGCCCCTGGGCCTATATGTGCCATGTGTATGTACTTTGCATCCCTCACTGTGATGTACAGGTGCTGTGCCCGGTGCCTGCCCCGTGTGAGTGGGGCATCTCCCATCACCGTGGTGTCTGGGCGCCGTGCCAGGCCCCT